AATTAAGAAATGACTCTGGATTTGGGGTCGGCAGGTGGTGTGGTGGTTGGGGGATGCTGGACTCCCACATGGCCGACCACGGTTCAAGTCCTAGACCTGGTGGCTTCCTTTCTCACTTTCTCTTTCTCTTGCTCTGTCCCTTTCTGGTCAAATGAAAAATAAAATAAATAAAGTAAAAATAAAATAATTTTCAAAATATTAAGGGAAATAAAAAAGGAAATGACTGGATTTCATAGGACTATTACCACAATTGGGGGGAAAGAGCAAGAGAGACAGACAGACATACAGACAGGACTGTTATGTAAAGATTAATGGGCTAGAGACTCCCAAAATATTCATACAAGAAGCCATTTTAAAGCTGAGGTGTGGGACCAGCAGTTAGCATAATGGCTATGTCTCTAGGACTCCCATGTAGTCGACTGCAGTTTGAATCCCAGACCCGGTGGCTTAAACTCATGTTGGGTGCATGTGTGTGCGTTCCCAAGAGGAGAATGGAGGAGAAGGGATTGCGCGTGGCAATTTCTCACTTTCTGTCTCTCTGTCTTTCTGGTGAGTGCATGTGCCATGTAGCAAAAACCTCTCAAAAAAAAAAAAAAGCTGAGATGTGTCTGGTGTGTTCAGGGAAGCCATGCTCTAAACCCACCTCCTAGACTCCCAAAATATTCAGACAAGGCCTAGGTACACTGTAGCCAAGCCTCTGAATCCTTTTAGATTCATTGAAATCCTCAACGCTTATTGAATCTCCTGCTTTAACGAAGAAATTTCTTTCTATAAATCTGAATTCCTAATCTTACTGTTTATACCACATTGCTAAGCACTGTGGAGGAGAGATTTTGTCACAAAATGACCAGAAACAACCACAGAGGTACAAGAAACATGAGAAATCAAGAAAATGTCTCTTCCATAAGGGAAAAGAACAATACCTCATCATCTACAAACAGTACAGTAGAATTCTTGGAAATGTCTGATAAAGACTTCAGAATATTCATATTGACAAAACTAAATGAGATGCAAGAGCTGAGAGATAATGAACTCCAGAAGACGCAGGAGAAAAGAGACGATGAGTTCCAGGAGGTGTTGAAGTTCTTTCATGATCTGAAAGAAGAAATACACACCATGAAAAAGAATCAAATGGGGCTATTAAAGATGAAGTCTGCCCTTCAGGAAATCAAAACATCCCTTGAAAGTATTAAAAGCAGATTAGTCCCTGCAGAAAATTGAGTCTTGTATGTTGAAGGTAAAACCTCTGATCTAGAAAAAAGAACCAAAAAAACTGAGACAGCATTAAGCGCCCAAACATTCAGATAATCGGTATCCCAGAAGGTGAGAAAACTAATAAAGGCATTGATAATCTATTTCATGAAATCTTGGAAGAAAACTTTCCAAATCTAGAGACGTATTCAAATATCCAGACCCAAGATATACAAAGGACCCCTAATAGAATCAACCCAAGAAGATCTTCTCCAAGGCACATCATAGCCAGACTGATCAAATCTACAGACAAAGACAAGATACTAAAATTGGCAAGAGAGAAACATCAGGTTACTTATAAAGGTTATCCTATCAGGCCAACCTCAGACCTCTCTCTCATCAGAAACAATGTGAGCAAGGAAAGAATGGGAAAATATATTCAAAGTGTTAAGTGAAAAACAGTTTCAACCAAGAATACTATACCCAGCAAGATTATCTTTCATATGGAAAGAAAGAATAAAAACATTTTCAGATAAACAAGACTTGAAAGAAT